CGCAAAAAAAAAAAAAACGCCCATCATGAAACCTTTTTTTTTTTTCACAATGGCATGATTAAAATATAATTGGCGGAGATCTATTGAAATGATTTTTTTTTTTAATTAAATTTTTTTTATCCGGGTAATTAAAGACAATAGCAAAAAAATGGAGGGTATTGTTAGTGATATTTTTAAACCTGCCAGGGAACTCGACTTTGAACCTGTCAAAATATTATCACATTAAAAGGTTACTCAAATTTTCAAGCCATTAACTTTAAAAAAAAAGGTCCAAAAAAGACGAAAATTTATTTTTTTTATTTTTTTATTTTTTTTTTGCATAAAATCATCAAAATTTACACGTGGGTCGGAAAGGAAGATCCAAATAATAAAGTCATATGAATAACAACTGCAATCGTATGGGGTATTCCGCACATAAGTTTGTAAGTATTTCCTTATCTGATACTGTTTCTTTGTAATATCTACAAGGCGCAGTCTATATAGTTTATTAACATACCTAAATACGTGAAATATGTGCATAACAACCTAAGCCCATTGTCATCCAAAAAAAACATTTTATAACGGCCCGCATCATAGAAATTCATTCATTATAATGAATCAAATGTATAAATTTCTCATTTTCCGCAAATATGTTATTATGTTATTAATAGTTCTAATGGTTTTTAATAGTTGTAATAATTTTTTCTATTGTGCTTATTGTACTCTAAATGGAAACAAAAAAAAAATACTACGCTTAGGTAAATCATTTATAATTATTTATTATTTCTCTTTTATCTCTTTTATTTCGACCTTTTTTTATCTCTTTCAATTTTTTTTATTTCAATTATTTCCTTTGTTCATTCTCCCCATTCATTCCATTTAATAAAAAGAAATCATGAAAATAATATGAGTTTTAAAATAATTTTTTTTTTTATTTTTTTTCATTGGACGGGAAATATTTTACCGCTAAATAAATTAATAATAAACGTAAAATTATGGTATTATATTATTATTATGTACAGTATAATTAATTATACATATATTTTTTTTTATTATATAATAATATTATATATTATAATTATATTATAAATTAGAAATTTTTTTAGCAGGACTAAAACTCGTTTTATCTTCTCCTCGTCTCATAAATTTGACAGTTCCGATAAGAAAAAAATTTTTTTTTTTTTTTTTTTTTTTTTTTTTTTAATTATGCTTCTTTGATAAATTTTTTTCTGATGATACATTAAAATTTTTTTTTTCCATTATTATTTACATTTTATTTGTAATGTAACATTATTTTGAAGGTGCGCCATTTAAAAAGGTAAATTTTACGTAGTTAATAGTCTTCGAAAAGGAAGGAAATAACGCCGTAACAAAAACCACCACATTAAATAATTACGAAATTACGATGATTACGATGAAATATCATCATAACTATAACGCCAAATTACTATACTCAGTCTTCTCCCCTAATAAATCGTCTCATATTTTCAAAGTTTAAACCGTCACACACACAAAATGTGATCTATTAACCAATCAAAGAAAAGAAATGATAATTAACGTTTAATATGCAATAAAAAAAAAAAATTTTTTTTTATATTTTTTATTAATGTAAAAAAAAAAAAAAC